AAATTTCGTCGGAACGAAGTTACGGAAAAAATCAATTAACAAACGGAGACGTAACACTATTATTTTGATAATCTATTCTGTTATGTGTCTTTAAAGGAAACCCAAATCACATCTGAAAATCTAACTCTAATCTTAAATTTCTATTACGGATCTACCGAACATTAATGTCACTACAAGACAACTATTCTTTCTATAAAAAAGTTCCTCGCTAATTACTATTAAAATTCATGCTTCAACTGTTACTGAACTTATTGGTATTATACTGTTTCTATAACACTCTAGGCTTTTTATGAAATGAATTGTTATAACAAGGTTAATGTAATTTTTTTTTTCAACAATCCAATAACTTTCACTTAAAACAATCACAAAATCTAGATTTCATACTGTCATGAGATAATCAAGTAGATTACACCTCACCTTACAGACTCTAGCAACACGGGTGTAGATATTCTTCCCACAGTTGATGTATTCTACAGCACTTTCTCGAAAGAAGAAAAAGACGTAGTTTCCAATGTCGTAAGAACCAACAAACTGAGGCTCTGGATAGAAATACTGACATTTTAATACTAAATGAAAATATTACAGGTATAAAATATTAAGTGGTAAAAAGTTGACATTTAGCAACTACAGATTTTACATATATTCTGAAATATCAATTATACATGATATTATACATTAGAAAGGTATTGGTTAAATGAAGTTCTGTATGGAACACTACAACACAACTGTCCTTTAGAATGAATATTTGTTACATAGTAGGAACTATAATCTACAAAAAGCTTCAGTAAAACCTGCAAATTTAACAGGTATTTTTTCACCATGTAAAGGAGTTTTATTTTTATTTAACTTACAAAATCTCATCAACAATTGAGAACCATTACAATGTCAGAAAGCTATTAAAATTGTGGGTTTTTATTGAAAACTACCCATATGCAACAATGGCTTTGAAGAACAAAAGCTACACTTACTTAAAATATGACTAGGAAAAGAATTTCAATATAATTCAAACAATTAAGCTCGATTTTAATAGCTACCAAAATAATCATTACTTTTTTAATAGTAAAAAACAAAAACCTGTGCAGTACTTAGGAATCAAAAATTATCATTAACTGCGTTATATCATCAAAAGTTACAACATATACCTCTGCTATTTTAATCAGTTGTGCTAACACTGGTACACATGCTATTTAATGTTAAATTTAAATACAAAATTACACTTACTGTCCAGCCACTTTGAATCATATTTGATAGTTCGGCTGAATGGATAAACTCTTCGTCCTGTTGAAGGATCATACAGATCTGTACGAAATATTACAGTGTCAGCCTTGGTGAACTCTGCCACAGTGCCACTATACAACCCAGGGAGTTCTCCTGGATTCCCATGCTCTAAGATAAGTATATAAATAATAATGTCAAAGTATTCTAGTTAATGACCATTTTGTTCCTTCAGTGACACAGTACTTACTTAGACCAAAAGCACTGTTTTTACATAATCTACTTAATACACAAAAAACGTTTCTTTACTTAATAATGTTAAAAAATATTGTTCCTGGCATTCCTTTTTCATCATTTAAAATTTTTAATAAACAAAATTTTACTGATAAAAAAATAGCTTTAACTCTGACAGATAAATTAAGATATATCACATACCAAAAAAGAACTTTAAGTTAAATTCCCTCATATACAGGGGAGCTTAAAAAATTTATAGGAATGGTCGTTTTAATCAAAACAGTCCATGCTACTTTGTAATTTGTTAGGTCGGCATCATTTATATCTCTTTTAAGTGTTTAGAATATCACAACTTTGAGCTTGTAAACAAACTTAATATTATCTTTCTGAAATATTGTATGTAGTTACAATGAAGTTCTATTTCACACAAAAACGTAGTTTTTCTAATGCTGCATGATGTTGTTGACAAATGTATTAGAAGACAGAACTGTAATTACCATTATAGGTAATGTTTCAGTGGTGTCTTGCTTTCAGAATATAGGTGTTGAGAGCAGCAACTCAAAGTTATGTTGTAAAATAAAATAGAACTTGAACAGATTCGATAAACAATGTCTCTAATGGACCAGCATATGCTGCAAAGAATGTATTGTGATTAATATCTGCATTTGTGTATCTGTAAAGCTGCAAAATGAGCTAATTGCACTATATAGATTACTGGGAATAACCTCACCATACTGTCCCACCATAATGTAATAAGTGGCCTACAAGTGTTGCTACCATTCTTCGTACTTTATAAAACAAACCTAAACACATGGGAAGATGAGTTTAACTAAAAAAAGAAGTAACACTTCTGTCACAGCTATAACAAAATATGATTTTAACTAATACATCTTTACTATTATGCAAATGTAATAAGTATGTAAAAGTGAAATAAGTTAGTTTTACTCTATATAATAGTAAATTAAAGTTTTATATTTGGTGGAATATAGTAAAAAATGACTAATCATTTCTTTCAAGTTGAAAACACTAACCCAGTAACATTCTAAATAAAGAAAGGTCGCTAATAAGGATCTCACAACTTTGTACAAAATGTCTGATTACTAATGTGGAATTATGTTACAAAAATTAAAATCTCAAAGTAACCAAAATGTTTTCTACATAATAGTGATGTTCACTTTCCACAGAATTGTTGTTTACTGGTAACATGTTTGTTTGTTCAGTAATAAATCATTTTATAGTTTTTATTTGCTTTTGCATATGATGAATTTTAATTTTTTTGGAAGAGGATGAAAATATTGCATTTTCATAGAACTTTACAAGTTGCTCTAAAGAAATAAGAATTCAAAATTAATTCAAAGAAAATTAATATTGATTAAAATGCAGTACTTAATATATACACCTGGAAAAAAGTTAAGCACCCC